GCCTCCACATGAGCAGGAACTTTTGGCCATCAAAACCGCTCTCGAGAAATGGCGTCACTACCTTCACGGCCGGCACTTCGATGTCTTTACCGACAATGCAGCTTGCAGTTGGATGTTGCATCACCCTCAGGTATCGCCTAAAATGGGACGCATGCTTACATTCTTCTCGCAATTTGACTTCACGATGCATCATGTGAAAGGTCATCTCAATGTCGTGGCCGACGCCCTATCCCGTCCAATTCAGCTCGCGGCGACTGATTTCGACGACGAAGTTACAGACGAGCCCGAGCCTTGGAAGTTACCAGCAGTTCATGATTGTTCGTCATCCTGTACGCATAAGGCTTCGAGACTTCGACGTCACAGTGTCCACGCAGCAATGCTTCGCTTGCTTCCGCCCGACGAACGCTGTCTTCTTCTCGACGATCTGGACTTGCGGGGGGAGAGTCGCCCTATTGGGGTTCAGCAAGAAGTCAATGTGCTGCACGTGGAACAAGTCCAGAACGTCGAGTACTCGACATCCAGCGTGCATTTAAGCGAAGATCAGAAGAAGAAGTTCCAAGCTGGGTACAAGCGAGACCCCGCGTTCAAAGAAGCATGGAACCGACCAAACAAATCTGCAGACTTCGTTAAATCGAATGGGCTCCTGTATAAGTGTTCGGATCATTCAGTCATGAGGCTGTGTGCCCCCAATAACGCTCGGCTGATCACGAACATCTTGCATGAATTCCATGATGCACATACGGCAGCTCATCCTGGAATCCGTCGAACGTAGTTGAGGGTTGCTCAGTGGTACTTCTGGCCCACGTTGGAGATGGACACAAAGGAATACGTGGCAAGCTGTGGGACGTGTGCTCGATGGAAAGTAAGTACCGCACGCAAGAAAGGCACTATGATGCCAATTCCAGTTCCGAGTGAGTGTTGGGAAGTAGCGACTATGAACTTCGTGACAGGGCTACCTGTTTCCAATGGCATCGATGCAATCATGACAGTGGTGGACAAACTGTCCAAGCGACCCAATTATATTCCGACACATACGACGGCAGATGCCCGGAGGTTGCACGAATCTTCTTTGAAGGAGTCGTTCGTCATCACGGTCTGCCGAAGGTGATCATCAGCGATCGAGTCCCCAAGTTCACATCGAAGGTTTGGAAGTCGCTCATGGATATCATGGGGGTCAAGTTGTTGCTCACCACGGCATATCAAGCCCAAGCGGATGGACAGACTGAGCGTCAGAACCTTGTCTTGGAAGATGCATTACGGTGCATGGTGTCCTATCATGGTCGAGACTGGGCTACGCATTGGGGAACAATCGAGTATGCACATGCGACGCTGGAGAGCTCCTCGACAACGCTTACGCCGTTCGAAGTGGACACAGGACGCAAGGTCAGGAACTTTGTATCCCAGAGCACACCTGGTGAAGTTCGTGATGAAGATGTCCCGCTAGTTGATCTTGCGCAGAAGTTTGCTGAAGAACGCAAGAAGATCATTGAATTGGCGCGCAAGAAACTCCTGGCAGCTCAAGAACGTCAAAAGAAGTACTACGACAGGAAGCGCCGAGACGTGGAGTTCAAGGAAGGAGACCTTGTCCTGCTGGACACGCGTAACTTGCCACTCAAGCGGATCACGGCTAACACGGAGCTCAACCGCGATAAGTTAGCGATGAGGTACATCGGCCCGTTCGAAATCGAGAAGATAATCAACTCCAACGTAGCACGGCCAAGCTACCACGCCACATGAGTCGCCTTCACCCGAGTTTCAATGTTGAGTTCCTCAAGCATGACGTTCCAAACCCTCAACGCTTCGCGTCGCGACCTTTGCCCAAGTATGCACCAGTAATCCTCGACGATGACACCGACGAAGAACTACATTTCCCAGAGGCTCTGCTCCAGCGGAAACAGCGCAACAACAAACAGCTTTGGCTGGTCAAGTGGCACGGACTTCTCGATTCAGAAAACACTTGGGAGTACGAGGTCAAGCTCAAACATGTATCGCATTGGCGTGAACTTTTTCACAAGTTCCGACAACAGCACCAACGCGATTAAAACTCCGGGGGGATGTCATGATGCAGCATGTCTGCTGCTGGCACCCACGCAAGTGGGTACGCCAGCAACAGACATGCTCAAGGAAGACGTACCTGGTGGCTAGGAAGGCAGGCATCACAGCGCCGCCGCCTCCTCCGCCACAAGTAGCTTGCGCGCAGCGTCGCTTGAAGGCTGGCGCCAGACTTGCGCAAGACTGCCTGGCGCCCGGAATCCAGAACTCTACCTGCACAAGTATACAAACATGCATATACAGGATTACGAAAACAGAAAAACACTTGCATTTAGTATAGGTTAGCTCAGCTTCTAGAACGACACTAAGGAGAAAGCAAGAGGAAGCCTTAGAGCCCGTAGCTAGTCCGAAGACTTAAAGGAATCAATCTCACTTTGCATTTTACCCAAAAGCAAGCAAGCAACCACAACAACTCCACGCACTTTCGCTACGGCAGGCCCCACCACATCGGAGCCTGTCAACAATGGCAGTCCCAACATATTACATCCCGCAAAACAATTATTTTGTTGCCATGTTTCATCCTCGGCATTTGGATTTGACTGAGCTGAATAACGAGCCATCTATACGAGTTCTACTCCACAACCCCAGCAAACGTGCAATAAACTAATTGGGGACCCGGGTGGTGGACCCGGGGGGTCTCGCAGTTCGAAGCTAGCTTGTACGGATGCCCTTACAGGGAAACGACGTACTCGGGCATCTCCTGCGCCTGCTTCGCAGCCGCAGCATCTGCATCTACCACTGTACATCCAAGTGTACCAAGTTTGATTGCTTCTTTTCAAAGGCATTATCAGTTCTCTCCAACGAATTGGTACTTCAACTCTTGGGTTTGACAAACCCACCGTTGTGATTCTACCTTCTCCTGCTCGTTGGATTAGGACTCCACAGATTTAGTTTTAACTTTAGTTATTTTGTAGTTAGTAGAACGGTTATCAACAATTAGCTAATCAACGTAATTTTATTCCTTCCTGCCTGTGAAACATGCGCTGATGCCCAGGCAGAATCCTATATTTCTTAGATTGCATGGTGTGTTCGGAAACTTACAGACGGCGAAAAAACAGAAAAAATACGTGTATTCGAACATTTAGCGCTTCCAGGCTAACTGCCCAACCGAACTTGCAGGTAACCCGATGAAGTCAGCAATTTGCTTCAAGTTTGATAAGTTAAGACTGAGGTCTAGCAGATCTCGATCGCATGTAGGAGTTGGATACACCGGGTGTTTGTCCTTCCCGTTGACGATGTCCGCCCGGGCTTCCTCTCTCACATGAATCCGGGGCGTACAGAAAAGTAGGAGTATTCAAACTCTGTTTGATAAAACATGGCACACAGACTTTGTCCGGATCGCCTGAATATCTAACAACAACAAAACCTCCCAGCTTCGATTCGTCCAAGTGTGTTATTGCCATTTATCAAGTATTAAACTGCATTCATGTAGCATTAGGATGATCTGAACTAATATCGGTAACAATGTACTTTAAAGTTGTTTTAACAGGATAAAGTAGAAGATTATTCTACCGTAGTAAATGGGCTCGGTGGATCTCTGCGGATCGCAATGTAGTTAAGGCAAGCTTAATCATCCAAAGTCTTCGTAGATAAAATGCCTAAGCGAGTGTCGATTTTAATGGCCCCACACGAGCCATTCATATCTCGATTGATTTGAACTACACTTCTCCCGATTTCATACACGGTCGTCATTCTTTTTGCTGTAGCTTTTAGCCTTTTCTCCGGAGAATACATAACACTAGGTGCAGCTCTTTTGAGTCTCCGCTGAATGCATTCGTTCGCCACCGTATAGAACGTCACCGCATTGCCGGCGGATAGATTTGGCTTTGGATAAAAATATGTTGAATGAAAAAAAATCAAACTATAATTCCCATATTGGATCGCATAACCTTAAAAAAGTTAAGTAGTTTATGCGAAGTTTTAGTGGAACGTTTTATCTAATCCATCCAGACACATTCCAATGAGTGTGGGGATTCACACAATATCAGCCTGCCGACAATTAAGTCACGGCAAACTCAGGTGACCAAAAGATTTTCAATAAATCTCTATGCATGCAGAAGAAAATCTGTCTGAAAGAGGAGTGTATAAGTTATGACCAGGACTAACAGATTGAATCGATAGCTTTAACACTAATGAAATGAGTGAGTACTATGTTGAGTGCTCTGGAGCCGCATGCAGTATAATACGATGCAGTGATGTGGTAATGACATCAGTTGTGCTCAAGGTCAGCAGAGGTTTGTAATTGTCACAGATGGCATTACTACGACGAACAACGTACATGTACATAACGTTATCTGTGCAATATATGTAGCAAGAATTGCATTCTTTCGAACAATAAAATGTTTGTGCTGGAGCTCCACTCCTCTGGTGGCGCCTGGCATCAATCTAGAAGGAAAAGAAGCTCTGAGGCGAATAGGCATCTATCAAATGCTGTAAGTGTAATTCAGACCGGATTCTATAGAGTGCTGTATGATGTTGTGTGAATGTTGTTTGATGTCATCTGCGCGGGGGTGAAGTGGCGAATGTAGCGTGAATGTCGTTCGATGTCATCCAAAACCCTTCCCCAATCGACAGTTCTTCGAACTGCGAATTAGCGTAGAAGTACTCCATTCGTACTTTATATTTGTTGCGGTTTAGATGGCTATCTACTTCTAATACTGCGCGCTGCAGCGGCCTTGCCTACGAGATGCGTGCCTTCCAGACCATTAGCGTAGCACCTATAGCTACCGTTTTGCCCACTGAGAGCGGGTTTTCTCTTAACGATAAGGATAAACTAATTCTGGGTGCTACATTAGTGGTAGTCAATTTCCCAGCAACAAGAAGAATTTTTATTTTGTAGAGCCTTCTGCATGAATATATTTGACCAATCAACGTTGGGTCAATTGAGTACCCCAAATCGAAGTTTGTAGCAACAAAGACGATTTCTTTTGTCAATTTGCAGCTCACAGCTTGCTGCACCATACATACGCCTTCGCGGGCTTGGACTTGGATGGCGCGGTTGTCGGCGCGCGGCAAGGAGCTGCGAGACCTGCGTCACATCACAGAGCAACGGAGCGCTGCTGCAACGGTACGCGACCTCCTTAGCGACGCTGATTCGTTGGAGGACGAGCTAGATGACTACTGGTAATTGGAACTCGAGCGCGTTCAATCGACGCGTTATGTGGATCGCCCGCCGCAATACCGACGGAGGAAAGATCGCTGGCTGAAGCTGTTGCGCGACCATGATTACATGAGTGACACGACCATTTTCGACTTGATCGTGACGTGTTTTATCGCCTACTGGAGTTAGTGAAAGATGATTCGGTGTTCTTCACAAAGGGGAACAAACCATTTCGTGGCGGCGCCGAGCTTCACATTCTTGCACTCCTAAAGTTTCTTGGCACCAATGGAAACGACAACTCCGGGACCAAAGTGGGCCAATTCCTTGGAATTGCAAGTGGCTCTGTTCACAACTATCTGTTTCGAGCTTCAACTGCCATCATGAAGCTTGAGGACGCCGTGATCACTTGGCCAGATGAGATCGAGCGTCGCATGATTTCGCAGCGGATGCAAGACAAGTATGATTTCGTGAATTGTGTGGGTATCACGGATGGAACGCTATTTTCTCTTGCTTTGAAGCCTCGCCACCATGGCGAAGATTACTATTGCCGAAAGGCATCCTATTCCGTAAATGGGTCGGTGACGTGTGATGATGTTGCAAGAATTCGCAACATCGTTGTTGGTTGGCCGGGATCAACCGAGTTTGGATGAACAGTCCAATGGTGCTTCATCCTAGTGATCACTTCAAGTCCAATGAATACTTGCTTGGTGATTCGGCTTTTCAAGTATCGGTCTTCATGATCCCTGCATTTAAGAACCCCCCGAAGGCTCAAATGGATTCTCGCCACAAGTACATCAACACCAAACTTGCGAAAGCTAGAATCAAAAGCGAGCACTGTATTGGGCTCTTAAAAATGCGGTTCCCCTACTTACGTGAAATCCGGGTGAAGCTAAGCAAGAAAGGAAAGCACAGGAGACGCCTGATTCGCTACGTCACCTGTGCGGCCATCATGCGCAACCTTCTGATTGCGGAGCCGATTCCACGTGACTGGCAAGCTGAACTCGAACGATTGATGACGGGCAGACTGGACGACGATGACGAGTTGAATGTACCCCTCCCTGTTAACGCAAAAGGGCATGAAAGACGAGAGCAGGTCCTGGCATACTTACTCGAGCTGCGGACGTAACGGTAGCAGAAGGTCGATCTCGTCGGATGAGATGCCCTCATCCAACAATTATTTTCGTTCTCGAAGCAGCGCGATTTTGCGTTGCTGGCTCCAGTGCTCTGCCTCTTCGCGGAGTTTTGTTGCTTGAGCGTTTGCCTCGCCAATCCGTGCCGCAGCAAGAAGGTCTTCATTTTTCAGTTGTTGTTGGCGTGCAAGAAACCCTCTTTCACGAAGGCCGAGATCCTTTTTTTCGGACGTCCAGTTCAGCAAGTTGGATATCGCGTTGCTGGTCTAGTTGGGCTTGCTTTAATCGGAAAAGAACCGGGTGCCCGGATAAGTCGTTTTTTTTGGGCTTCTTTGTTTGAGGTTGAGCGATAGAAATTGGAATTGACGTCGATCGCTTCGCCGCCGAGTTGCTCACTCCATGACTCGAAACCTCATTTGTGTCAGTAGCACTTTCATCACTCGAACTGCAGTCATCACTCTCTGTATCATCTTTGCGAAAGTGCTGATCGGTGTTCAGGAGCTGCGCGCGGGTGCTAATACGACTATGCATCGTGTCGAATAGATCATAGTACTCGGGGCATCTCTCCAGAATGTTTGCACGCGGTGTAGTCTCATCTTCCACTCCTTGCCCAGTAGCCGAAAGCCAGTCAACAGCTGCACGAAACGTCGACTTCAGTGACGCAATCTTAGACATAACATCTTTCGCGGAAATCATGTGCACGATTTGCTGAGCGAGCGTAGTTTTCGTTTCCCCTGTCTGGCCTTCACCACCGCAGAATCGGTCATAATTATCGGCACTCGTTATCCAGTCAATTAGCACGCTCAACGAGCTTACATCTTGCGAAGGTCCATCGTTATGCCATAGCACGCGCTTCTTTCCGGTCGTTTGAGGTGCAGCCGCAGTAGCGGCTAGCTTTACCAGGGTGTTGTAGCATCGTTTTCCGCACGTAGCTTGTCAAATGAGCCACCAGCACCGAATGCATCCAACAGTGCTGCTACGCAAGCAGCGTGGGCTTCGCGCTCACATCCCGGCCTACTGCAAGGGCGAAATGACCCGCCTCCATTCGATTTGTTAACCTTCTTGCAGTCTTTCCATCTACAGACGGATGCTACAGCAGCACCTATGACGGCCGCAGCTTCATGACGAGTTGCATCAGCTCCGGGTGCTTGCCGGGCATTGTTGTCGGGTACGGTATCAACAGTGACGGGCGGTCTGGTTTCCTCGCATCGATCATCATTGTCGCTGTCCAGCATTCGGCTAAGGTCGTTCAGACGAGCAATCCGGCTGGGTGCTATGTGCACTCCTGTGCTGATCACGTACTGGGTCCGCGCAGTTTGGAGTAGTCGTAGGAGCTTGGGTAGTCGGAAATTCACTTGCACTTGAAAACTCTGACGGTCGTAGGGGTTGTACGGCAATCTGGTGTGTTTGATAACTGGTTTCGGACGCTTGATGCTCCAACTGGGTCGCGTGAGAGTGCTGGGTAGCGGCGTTGTCGCTGGAGTCCTCGCTGTGAGCCGGCCTAGTGAGGTCAGGCGCTCTACTGCCGAGGCTTGGCTGTGTTGGGGCGGAGCTGGTAGTCCCTCGACTAGACGGGATCGTCCCTGGTGCAGCTGCTGCGCCAGTATGAGCGCGGCTTGACCGCGAAGAGCGCGGCTTCGTCTTCTTGCCCATTAGCTCTTCAAGTTCCGCGGCGAATAAATAATTGAACTTGTTGCTGCGCGCCAAGCTGCGTGAGTTTTGTTGCAGGTGGGCAATTTTTTTCTGACCAATCAGAGCCCTAGAAAATATTTCCTTCTTGCTGTGAGAAAAAAATCCTCTTGTTGCTGTGCAATTGACTACCACTATTGAAAGAGAACATCGTTAGCCTATTGCAGAACGGTGTCTAGCTAGCACGAAAAATACATTGTAAAGTCGGATCAACGCTAGATTCGCGACAGATAAACGACAGCTACCGCGAAATTCCACCCAGGTATTGATCGAGCCGGATAACGTAGATTATGAGGTCATTTACTCGTTGTGTACCGCAATTACGTAGTTTCATTTAACGGGTGCTACAGTTGACGCTTCATTGGTGCTGTAAGACTCATCAACTAGCACAGCTCAGCCTTTTTAAGATGGAATGGCTTTATTGCCACTTGCCGGGTTCCGTGAAGCCGCCGGTTTTCGCTGAGTGGGTTGGCGGGACTCCGTTTTTGCGACGGTTTTACGTTTTAGTTGCTTCTTGCCTTGCGTCAGTCGTTGCTTAGAATTCACCAATGTTTTCGCCTTCTGTGTTAGTGTTGATATTTTTGCACGTATCTCATTTTCGCCCGGTAAGTTGTAACGCCGATGATATTATTCCGCCAGCACTTCCAGCATGCCCACAGGTCCGAGCTTATTACTAGGATCTGCTTCACCTTGTTTGAAAAGTTCTTCAACATCTTCTTTGTATATGCTTATATATTTTTCGCCATACGTAAACCCCTTTTTCGGTCGCGTACCCAGCCCAGTAGTAAAACAAGTCGTTTTCGAGCGCCTAGTCTGCAATCTCTAGCGACATCGACCAGTTTGGATGATAACTCAACTGGCGCCACAATCTCCCCGTAGTCACCGCCACTTTGCATATTTATGAGACAGCGTTTAGCATAGGCCTTGATATTTTTCTCGGAATAGCTACTGATATCGCTACTCATATTCGCCGAGGTATGCTGGTAGGTCGATTGGACCGTACGTTCTCGTCGAAGTAGAAGTTTGCTGGACCAAGTTATCTGGATTCCGGTGATATACCCAGTGGTGCGAGTTGGAAGCCCAATATTTCGATGATCAGATGAATTAATTGCGTCTTCTTCAGAATCGATCGCATCTTCCTCATCCATATCACTATGACACGCAGGATTCACGGTTACGTCAATTCCGTTCCCCACTCCCGAATATTCGTAAATCTTTAGTGTGAATGGCGCCCACGTGTGCGGGTCAAAGTGCGACGAACGATTATCCAATTGGGGGTGCTCAAAACCAACGTCATTGAACCTGGAAACAATTTTACTTAGCGATTTCGAGACAGGATTAACTACCGAGCGTAGTCGTTCCATACTTCCTCGATCAAAATCGACCAGCTCTGCCAAAGAGTTGGGCATACCTCCATCAGCGTTGAGAGCGGTAATCACCTCAGCAGGGGTTGTACAGTTGTGCCCCTGACGCACCCAATTTTTTTATCTTACGCATCGCAGTGGCGAAGTAGCCATCTAATATGCACTTTCCATCCTGTGTCTCGGTGTGAGCAAACCGCAACACTTCAATTCCATGCGAAGCGCCCAAGAGAGGCAGTAGCAGTTTAACAAATGGGTTTTGGTAGTTCGTAGCGTTGTCAAATTGGAAAATAACTCGTTTGATAAAGGGCAGTTCCCGCTTGATGGCCAGTAAAATCCCCTCAACCAGAGCAACAACATCTTCTTTATCCTGCTTATTATCTGCATTGGATATTTGGTCCAGATATACCTTAGTTTCTCTTGTATCTCCATGAACAAGGTCATTTGTCCAATACCGAACGAGTGCTCCGTGTTGCGACAAACCGCGTTTACCATAATGATCGACAGTTTTTTCACGGTAGTACAGGGGCTCCATTTTCATTTTGAAATCAACAACAACAATTGCATCACAGGACCCTTGCTCTGCTCTACATTTTTCCTTGATGCTATCGGCGAGTTGTTGAAGGGCACGCTGTTGATTAGCCACTCTCACTGGATGTCCCAAGTACAGCCCGATCTTCTCGTATGCGTCCGTCACTACGTCCAGCGTCGTTGCGCCCGGTGCGGTTGCTTCTAATTGTTGCAAAAGATCATCAAATATAATGTCCATTGCCTCGCATTGACGGCACGACACAATGCGCTGATTGTTGTTCAGTACGTTTATATCGGCTGGTAGCGTTCGATCTGGTTCCATCAACCCGAATGAAATGGAGTGCCGTGGACAGCATCCCCCATAAGCAGTATCCGGTTCATACACTTGTGTTCCCCCGTATTTGAGCCACTCATGAAGTATATCAAGTCTTCGAAGTACACCTGCACTGGTTTCCGGGAGCAGATCACAAACAATTCGCCTTAGCAAATCAAAAGTGTCGTAAACGAGAAAACCTGTCACGTAGTTTACAGCAGTCCGAGGCTGGGTACTACCGTGAGTTAGGATGGGAGCTAGGCTATAGAATGTCCGACGAGAAACTTTAGCGCGGTCTTGGTCACGAGACTTGTAGTTATCGAACATTACTTTCACAGTCTTGCGCAGCTGGATGGCAGGCACAGCAACATGCTCACCCTCTAGTTTAATATTTTTGGTTCCCCACGACAAGAATGAAACATTATCCATGGAGAGTATGTAGTGGGCTGCCTCATCATCAATGCAGGAGTCAAACTTTTGTCTGGCAAATTTAGTTGTGTCCAACGCGCCTTCATCCAAAAGAATATCGAGATGTCTACCGCCTGCAGCATACAATCCCCGACCTATTGTTGCCCGATCGACATCAACTGTAATCTCTCGTAAGATTTTCAGTGAGTATGATCCACAAAGAATTGCGCGAATACTTCGATACTGAAGTGAGCCTCTGCGAGTTTTTGCAAGCACATTTGCCGAATTCACGAGTATGTCGGCGTCGGGGGCATTCTTGGGTCTCACCCAACCCAAAAAGAGCTCCAAAAACTGCGTTGCCGACTTAGGTCCACGTATGACTTCTGCTACGCACTGTAACAGTCTCAAAGCCAGGTTCATTGCAGCCGTTCTCGGGTATGCTTCGTCAGATGAGTGTGAACCCACTGTAGTCCAAAATTCAGCAGTGGACCGAATTGTTGGCGGGTTAATGAGCACCGGAGTTGGAGTCAGAATAGGTGGACTTACGAACATACTATCGATTTGGCCCAACGTAGAGAAACGAGCGAGGGAGAAGGAGAGTCCAGCAGACTGAGAATCATGAAGGAGAAGTTAACACGATCGATGATATGGATCTCTCGTTTGATTCCCCTGTTGAGTTAGTTCCCTCGGCACCTCTGTGGAATAGCACCCCACGATATGTCGCGCCAGAGAACGAGTGACGGGAAGTGCCGGGAAAGATGGCAGTCGACGAGACGGATGGAATACGACGCGTCGGAATGGCCAGCGATGTTAACAAGATGATGGGCCGTGTGACACGCATACCGGCGGCGGAATCAGGCTAATTCTGGCTGATTCGACGAGCCGGTTCATACGCCCGGTCATGCAAAACCCGTCGACCCCAAAAACCCGTCGACCCTCAACCCCGTCGAGGAAATCCCGTCGAGCTCAAGTTGTGATTACGTTACGCAAATCAGGTTGAAGAGCGGTAGTGCAAGCACGACAGAAGATAGGATAGGTACAGAGCGATAGGCTTAGCAAGCAGTAGCAGTAGCAAGGACATAGGATAGGGTAAGGACTCAGTCCCGAAATTTCTCTGAACCACTCAGACCTCTCCCTTCCGGAAGATCGCCAGGTTCTTGAGAACCACCAAGCGTCGGCAAGCAGAGCCGCAAGGAATACGCGGCCCCCCGTCGCTCGCTGGCTCGGGCACTCACCCCCCCCCTCCTCAAACCCCGTGTCGGAAACGAAGGCACGTCAAACGTGTACCGGTTAGGAGGCGCTCGATAACGCGCTGCCTAGACGAAGGACCGCATGGCCTGATAACCGCTGTGCACAAGACCCCACGTCGGCCCGATAACGCCACGCAACAAGCCCCCTGGAAACGCCGGCCCGATAACGCCGCACGCCCGACGGGATCTCCGAGGAAACGCCGGCCCGATAAGTCCGCACGCCCAAGGAACAACCGACGCCCTAACACAAGGAACAAGCGTCCACTCAACCCCCCAACTATGAAGCTTGCGAAGACTTGGGCTCTATATTCGAAGATACGGTACTCAAGATCCGGGAAATTGCCCGTCGCGACCGCAGATTGGACGCGTCGGGTTTGTGCGAGGACGACCTCCGCGATTCTGTGAGGCCGCTACTCCACACCTCCAAGCCCGACATAGTTTCCGGGAAGCGACTTCGCTCCCCCGCCGAAAAGACTACAGATCAGGAGAATTGCACCGCCTCCTACTTCGTCGTCAGAGACGTGGAACTCCAGGAGATTCTGGATCCACCTCCAAGATGTACACCCAGAAGTGGAATGCTGTGTCACGGAGGAACACGACGAGACCCTAGGCTTTCAGATGCTTGTTGCCAGCATCACACCGAGCGAGCGCGTAACGACGAGTACTACCACAAGAAGAACAAATCGAAAGTGAAGCTTTCCCCCGAAGCGACCATGCTGCGGGAGAACATCCCGGAAATGCATAAAGACATCCTAGAATCGAACGATCAGTTCGAGCGCGAAAAAAAGCCCGTCCAGCAGCCCTAGCGGCGAAAGAATCGAAGTTGTTAACTACGTCGCCTCCCTCAGATGCAATTCTGAAGGAGATCACTAAGAACCGCCTTGCCTTCACGATTAAGCTGTCTAAACTCATGCGACAGAAGTTCGCCATGATCGACGATATGGCGTGGACCCACCTTTGGTACCGATGTGTGCATGCATCTGTAGCAAGCGCCAAGTACACCTTCGCGACTAAGAGGAGAAAAAAGACTGGTGCGGAGGCCCCAACCTCTCGAGAGTCGATGCTGGCCAGCATGGAGACGCTAAAAGGTGAGAAAAAATGCTCCCTCACTTGATGTCTCACTTGCATGGCCTTTTTCGAATTGCTGCTCCTAGCAGCAGCACCACACAGCTTTGACAAAGACTACTGGATCCAAACCCTGGCAGGCAGCCACGTTCCCTGGCTGCTAGCGCCAGGTACGCGCCTATTTTACCCGACCACACTGTTGGCGCTGTTGCGCTCAGAGTGTGGAGGCCTTGTCCTCCAACGACTGAGTTCATTGGAGTGGACACGCGAGATAGTGGCCACTCTGCTGGAACTCCGCAACTCAGACTTTTGGTTGGCTAACGAGACAGCGGTCCTGCAGATGGAATACAGCGATGATGAGCCAAAACTAATGTTTGGACCCCTCTATGGCAGCTACTAAGGCCTCATTAACGTGGGACAATGTGTGTGAACACTAATGGTGTCAAGAGAAACGGAGGCATGCTGATAGAGAAAACTCTGTCAAACTATCATGTATCCTGCCTGCATGAAACCAAATTTCCCAACATTCATCACGCTCAAAAATTTGAATTTCTACTCCGAGCAACGTACGACTGCAAACTATTCGTGAGTGATCGCAACTCCGTCGAACCCACCACGGCCCACCCACAAAGCGGAGGAGTAGCAACTATCCTACACAGTGATTTCCCCGGATTTGACTCTGCTGAAGAAGTAACTGAATGGACTATCCCAGGACGATACCTCGTTGTACGGGTCCAAGTGGGCAACTTGTCGCTTTATATTCACAACATGTACGCTCCGGTAGACCCAGTAGAAAACAAAGCCTTTTACGACGATCTTCTCTCAAGGACTGTGAATACGACTGACGTTCACTGGGTTGTAGGAGACCTCAATGTAACACTAGACCCGACTAAAGACTCACTCACAGCGTCAACGCGCCACAACCGTTCAAGGCGGAGCGCCAATGAGTGGTTGGCAGGATTGGAGGTGGCTGACTGCTGGAGAATACAACATCCGGTGGCGCGAGTTTTCACGGGGCCACCGCCACGCAAAAACCTGTTATACTATTGCCTCATATTAGAACGATTCATGACGAAATATGTTGACACTTCGAGATACCTTCAAGTACCGCATTCTGGAGACCATCAAGGCCACAGTGTAATTATCAACCATGTGAAACAAGAGAGGGGGAAAGGCTATTGGCGCCTCCCTTCGAAACTACTAGAATACCCTCTAGTTCAGCAAGCAATACGAACGGAAGCTAAAATTTTACTTCCTGAGATCAACAACGCTATTAATCCGGGTCTGGTGTGCAAAGGCTGGAAGAGGCGTATCGTAGCCCAGCTCAAATCGCTCCAAAAGGTAAAAGCTTTGCAACAAGACCAAGGGCTTCGAGCGGCGGAAAACCATATCGAATCTACTATGAGGAACTACGCGGAGAACCCCTCACCGACAACAAAACAATTTTATGACGAAGCAAAAACCTGGTGTGGCGAGTGTAAGGAGCACGTATATCGACTCCAGCAGGATTCTTCTTTTGACTTGCACGCATCCAAAATGGAGAACTCGTCAGCAGCTTTTTTTTCGTGCCCCTAAGTCCCTACTGCGGTCCGTGGGTGTTTCCTCCGTTAAGTTGGATACCGGGGAAATTTCAACAAATCCAGGTCGGATTAAGGAGCAATTTCGAGCACATTGGGGTACAATTTTTGGAGACCCAGGGTGTCAGCAAGACGGAACTACAACAAACACCAAGAAACGACAAATGCTTCTGGACTCCATAACCAAGGTACTGCCAGACGAAGCTAGAGATGTACTTGAAACTCCTGTCACGGCCCACGAACTGAGCAACTCGATTAAACACATGAAAGGAAACTCGGCACCTGGACTGGACGGGCTCACTGCTGCTTTCGATCAGACCGCACCGGAACTGTTTGGAGAAATTTTGTGTAAAGTTTTCCAGTACCAGCTCGAACGCGGAATATTACTTCCGTCGCAACGAAGGTCATGTGTCACTCTATTATACACGAAAGGAGACCGAAGTGACCCAGGCAACTACCGGCCGATTACTCTGATGTCCGTGGACGTCAATGTTCTGTCCAAATCCCTCTCCTATCGCCTGCAAGACGTGCGGCCAACTCTCATTCACACCAATCAAAAGGGTTTTGGGAAAGGCAGATCTCTACACCATCAGGTTCGCCTACTGGACGACCTACAACACCACGCATCGTTTACGAACTCATCTGCTCTAGCGCTCTTTCTTGACTTTGAAAAGGCTTACGATCGAGTCATTTGGGAATATTTGTCTCTAGTGCTCGCAAAACTTGGGTTTGGGATTTATTTTATCTCAATGATCCGACTGCTGTATAACAAACCGCTGGCAATTTTTGATGCTCAATGGATTCCTACTCCGTCCGCTGGAAACGACCCGACGAGTGAAACAAGGAGACCCTCTGTCCTCGCTTCTGTTCCTGCTTTGCATTGAACCTCTCGGTAATCTTATAAGCGCACGGCAAGACTTGGGTATTTGCATATCCGGATCAACACAAATTACAGGACTATATATCGCCGACGACTCGACGCTGGTCTCCAGTTGTATTCGCGGAATTTGGAAGCAACTTGAACTTATCGAGGTCTTTATCTGAGTGGTGGAGATCCACCTGGCTAATGTCGCACAAAACACAGTGGCTACCTCACGGAAAACACCCCAGCGCGATGAGACCATTATGGGCTGCCCCTATTTGTGCTTTCTCTATAAATCGTTCTCGGGTTGGCCAGTACCCAAATTTGAGGTAGATATCTCGTAGACTCCCATAGGACTTCCGATGTGCCAGTTGGAGTCGGTAACTTCGCCTTGGTTCTGCAACAGCTATAACATTTCGCTTCCTAGCGGCTCGCGTTTCGTACTGTAGCAGTGGGTTTTTGGAGAGCCTGGATGCGCAAGATCTCTTGTTCTCCCAGGAACGACAGAACCGATGGCTAAAAGGCCTGTACAATGAACTCACCCATCAATTCGAGCGCATCAAAGACCTGTTTGTCGACACAAACAGCATGACTATCGACCTGCGCTTTGTCCCGAATATGGGCGTCCGGCAAGCTGCTAAAACAAGATTGTTTCCGTTTATCCCTCGGCCCCCACTAAAACAACTTCTTCATCCCCCGTCGTTAGATCCCGACATTCATCCCATCTGCCGCGATCTTAACGGGACAACGCATGCAGACGTACATCGATTCGCCCAATTCAGCAAACACCATCGTCACCTGCTACTACCAGTGTATGACGACCTTCAAATGCGGATTGCTCTTCGTCTTCTTTCAGTGTAATCGCGATTCTGGTTCCTAAAGCATCAGATTCCCGACGTACAGCAATGCCCCTACCCAAACTGCACATCGATTGAAACTACGAAGCACCTCTTCTGGGAATGCCCCCATTTAACAAGGACGTGGCAACTCATGTGGGAAGGTTGGAGTATCTTCTTCACAAGCAACCTATCGTGGACGTCACTAATTCTCCCCCACAAGTTACGAGTTAACAAACGCTGGTGTAGTCATCAAGACGCGATTCTGCGCCTGTGGAATGTGTTTCGTTGCGCTACACTTCACCACCAGTGAACAGAACGGAACTACATCTGCTTCGAAGACGGAGAACCGGACCCCATGCCCACGGCAATTTCAAGCATTCATTCAGCATTTTGCTGCCACTACCGCAGACTACTCCGGATTTCCAGCCCCGACATTCGTAAAGAATACGAGCGTGTTCTGCGACAATTACGGCAGTCCAAGCACTTAGGCGCGTTCATCCAAAGGAACGCAACCAACTTTCACACACGACATGTACAACTTCGTCTCACATACCGCACCGGCGTGGTGTTTCGCACAGTGGTGGATTAGTTTTATTTTCATTATCTAGTACGACTAGTACCAGTACATAGTATCTGTCCAAATCGAGAAGGACATTAAATCGGTAATCGAACCATTCATCACTATCGATTTGGCCCACACGTGCTATAACTGGTCTTGGAGTTCTCAACAGATTTACATTTGATGGAACAGGGTTTTCAACAGAGACGGGTTGGGTGTGAAAGATCTCATCAATTTTGTTTTGGACGTGGCTACTTTCTGCATCGGTGTCAGCACTTATCTCCAGTTCACACGTATAATCCGTAACGCAATCATTTTTCCGCACGCTACCACCACGAGTTCCAGCTCCTTCAAAAGTAATCGAGGGTGTCATTGAAAAGCGTTCACAAGAGCATCCTCACTATGGACAGCTACAATCCCTGGCAATTTCTTTCTTGTATGGTCTTCATTTTCAACTGCGACTTCTTCATTTTCAACTCCGACTTGCTCACTTTCGTTAGAGCAACCTACGGTCTCACATCGTTGGCTACATTCGTCGCCTAAATCGCCAGAGGAACTCGCTGTTACTTATCTCGCCTTGGTTTGCTTCATCTGCCGAGGGAAAATGTTCCCCAAAATCCTACCATGGGCGCCTAGCACAAGTGAGCGAAGGGCACGTCTACCAGCCAGAGGCTGGTACACAATCTCCAACGAACGTGAACTAGAATCTCAATTACAATGACGTGAATCAGCATTCTCCTCCGTTCCAGTACACAAATCCCAGGGGACGAAGTCGTCTTGCCGCTTATCACTCAGACTGGAGTCATCATGTTGTTCATGTACAGAAGACGAGGGCACGCGAGGGTAAGAGTGCGCGCTCCGTCCGTAAATAGCGCTACTGTTATCATGTGTAACTTGTTCTCTAGTACGTAGAGCTCGTGCGACGCGAGATGCAGCAGCAGCGGTCATCGTGTGTGTAACGGGGTTACATGGAATAGTGATCCTGTCACTATTCAGGGATGGCTACATCGGTCACTCCCCTGGATAGTGACCCAAGTGGCCTCAGAGCCAACAGATACATTTTGTATGACACAAACTATAGGGAACTTAGGATTTGTATGCAGGCCAAATCTATACCAACCTATAAATACATTCAGTCTTAGATCTACTGCTTTTCAAGTCAAGTCGTCCCCTTCAGACCAGGGACACGTGAACGGCTGTTCACTTGGAGTTTGTATACTCCTGCTTCCTCTGTTAAGAAGTGCTGTGTGCCCCGTCACACTTGGTAGCACTTGTAGTCAATCCTACGCCTACGCGGGTAGATTGGACTACCTGAATCCTCTGTGTCTCATCGAGTGAGCCAAGATGGATCGGACGGAGTTCCCCATCCGAACGACTCGCAGTACGAGTCCGTTCGTAAGATGGCAGGCATCTTTGGGACAGATGCCCTGCGAAGCTTAGCGGCGGCGACGCCGGCTGAGCAGGTTGAGCGTATCAACGCGTTCGACACCTACGAGCGAGGGCTCATCGCCCACGTTCAAGGGCTGCAGGCCACTGCGGCCGCGCCGTAGCCGGTGCAACCGAAGCCCCTGCGGCTGAAGGTTCACCCCTTCGAAGGGAAGGAAGGAGAAAACCTTCACTTCTGGGTTCGAGAGGTTGAGCTCGCGATGGACGCGGCTCTCGTCTCGGTCGAGCGACTCCGTGTCGCCTTTGCGCTCTCCAACCTTAGTGGTCGCGCTAAGAGTTGGGCGTATACGCGCGAAGCGACGACGCCTGGATGCTTCGCATCATGGTCCCAGCTGTGCGAGTAGCTGCGGGCCGCGTTTTTCCGGCGAACTACGAGTACCGCCAGCGTTCGCGCTTCCTCGCCTGCAAACAAGGAAGGCGCGAGCTGCATGAGTACATCCAGGAGATGTGAGTGCTCACTGCCTCTTTGGTGGGGAACTCTCTGCCTGAGCACATCAAGGTGACCGTGTTCATGGACGGTCTGCGTGTCGGTCCTGCCCGCACGCAACTGTTCCGTGTGCAAGCAAACACTATGGAGGAGGCGATTCAGATCGCCCTCCAGGAGGAGTACAGCCACAAGCAGGCTCGTACCCCCGCCACGGTATGGCAGAGCAACCCTGCCTCTGGCGGTGCGCCTAATGGTAACTCCGGCAATGGAGCGATCAACGGGCCGGTTCCCATGGATCTGGGCATGGCCGAGCAGAGAGACATTCGCTGCTACGGCTGTGGCAAGCTTGGGCACATGAAACGTGCCTGTCCCGCGGGAGGACCGAAGAAGAAGTTCTCTTCGAAGCCCTTTGGCTCTAGGGGTCGCTGGCAGAAGCCGCGCCCCAGGAACCAGGGGAACGCTGGACACCAGTAGGGGCGGGGCACCCTACTGGGGAAACACTAAGTCTTCATGAGGGGCGTGCGGGTGGCGCACGCCATGGGGACTTAGCCCCTGAGAGTCTCTGTACTCTCGAAGCGGAGAAGGGCAGCGGTGGGCTGCTTGTGGTGCACGCGAGTGTACCGGGATACGATCATCCCTTGAGAATCTTGATCGACTCTGGGGCGTCCAAGAACTTTGCGCGCCGCCAGACTGTCGCACGCAATCGCGACAAGTACGCCGATGCGCTACGAGACAGCAAAGGCAACGAGCTGGTCTCGGTAAGACTGGCCGACGGTACGGTGGTAGAAGTACCTCGGGTCCACATGGACCTCACTGTCAAGTTCGAGGACTTCGACAGCACGGAGCCGTTCTTGATCCTAGACATGGACGAGTACGACTTGATCCTTGGCATGCCGTGGCTGGAGAAACACGAGCCTTGGATCGACTGGCCCGGCAAGGCCATCGGGGCCAGCCGTCCCCCACGCTCTGACAGAGCTTTGGTGAGTCATGTTCCCACCTATGGCAGCAGCTGGGGCGCCCGCGAGGGCCGCCAGGGCGCAGCAGCGTCTAATGAGTTCTTGGAGTCCGTCGAGACTGACGACAACTCCGACCAGGCCGGACAAGGCCTGAGAGTGGAGGTGCCGGACAGCACCTATCAGGTGGGTAACGTAGGTCCACACGCGGGTAACTAAGTACCGCAGGCAGCAAGGGCTGCTGGAGAAGGCACCGCTGGCGTTGGCGTAGGTAACCAAGTTCCACGCGAGGTCACTCAGACCGTAACAGATGAGGAAGGCACTGTAGGCGCTTCCGATGTGGGTAACATAGTTCCACAGGTGGTCACTCATCCCATAACTGATGCGGGAGTCGCTGGAAGCGCTCCTGGTGTGGGTAACCAAGTTCCACACGGCGAGGTGGGTAACATAGTTCCAACCAGCAAGGCGGGTAACCAAGTTCCGCTCAAGAATATGGGGGGTAACATAGTTCTGCTCAAGAACAAGGCGTCCGCGCAAGATCGAGAAGATCGGTGGTGCTGCCAAGGCGGCGCCACGAGACGAAGACACCCGAGGGTCACGTCGTAAGCCGGGCCTAGTCGCATGGTCGACGACGCCAGCCGCCGGCGACTCCGAGCCTCCAGCCAAGGCTCCAGCCGCCGAAGAATGTTATCACATCTTTGGTGGCGTGACCGGTCGTCGGGTCAAGGCAGGAGCTGTCGAGCTTACAGCTCTGCCCGAGGTTTCAGAGTTACTGAACCTTGAGGAGCTCGCCATGGAGGACTTCTTGGCCGAGCTAAAGGCCGGGGAGATCGCAGAGTTGGTTCTCCTCCGACCGCAGTCCACGTCGGCCGGGTTGAACTCGTCCTCGGTCATGGACCAGGCAGTCCTGGAGGAGTTCCAGAGACAGCGCGCGTCGCGCATGGGCTCTGAGATTCTTAAGAACCCCCGGGACCCGGTGTACCCCTTGGTGAAGGAGTTTGAGGACGTGGTGTCCAAGGATCCACCGTCCAATCTCCCTCCGGACAGGGGAATCAGGCACGAGATCGATCTCGTGCCGGGCACGAAGTACTGTGTCACGAGGCAATGGCCTCTTCCCCGGGAGCAGTGTGAAGTCATTGATGCCTTCTTTGCCGCCAAGGCGAAGGCAGGCATGGTGCGGGAGTCGAAGTCCCCGCACTCGTCGCCTACCTTCTGTGTTCGCAAACCGAACGGTTCATGCTTATAACAAGCTGAACAGCGCGACAGTGCCTGCGCAGACACGATCCCGCGCAAGGACGTGTTGCTCAACAACATGGCCGGCTGCACGCTGTATAGTGCGCTGGACCTGGTGGATGGATACTACCAGATCATGATGCGCGAGAGCGACATCCCACTCACGGCTGTGAGCACGCCGAGCGGTATGCTCTGGGAGTGGCTGGTCATGCCTCAGGGGCTTTCTAACGCCCAGGCAACGTTCAAAAGCTTGGTCACACAACTGTTCCGACCTTTGCGTAGACGTACTTTGACGACATCTTCGTCCACAGCCGTACCGAGGCAGGCCAGACGGCCATGGAGGTGCATCTCCAGCACCTTCGACGTGTGTTCGAAGTCATGAGGGCGAACAAGCTGTACGCCAACATCGACAAGTGTGTGTTCGCAGATCAAGGTCCTGGGCTGCTTCGTCAGCAGCGCCGGGGTCCGGGTGGACCCGGAGAAGGTGAAAACCATCGCGGCCTGGCCGCCACCTCGGTCGCAGAAGGACCTATGACAGCGGTTGGGCCTCGCCAACTACCTGCACAAGTATAGTGCAGGCTACGCCGAGCTGGCACGGCCCTTGTCGGATCTCCTGAAGAAGGATGTCGACTGGCGCTGGGAGCGTCGCCATCAAGATGCTTTTAACGACATCAAAGCGAGCTTACAGCGCGCGCCAGCCCTGGCATTACCGGACGAGACGAAGCCTTTCAGCGTAGTCTGTGATGCGTCTGACTACGCAATTGGCTGTGCGCTATTGCAGGCCGACGATGAAGGCCGCGAACGGGTCACCTCGTTCCAGTCCAGGCAGCTCAAGGCAGCCGAACGGAACTATCCAGTCCACGACAAGGAGCTACTTACCATGAAGTACGCTCTTGTCAAGTTCCGAGGGCACCCCCTGGGCTTGACGCCCTTTGTCGTTTATACAGACCACGCGTCCTTGCGGACTGCCGTCAACACGCCGCATCTCTCACAGCGGATGGCGCGTTGGCTGTCATTCTTCGCGGAATACAACTTCCGTGTCGAGTACAAGCCGGGCAAGTTGAACGTGCTTGCCGACGCGCTGTCGCGCCGACCCGACCACGAGCTTGCTCATATTAGTCGGGTCACGACGGATCTGTATGATCGCATCAGGCTGGGGTACCGAGACGATGCCAGTCTCGGACCTCTTGTGCGGTTCTTGGCCGCTGGCTCGGAAGCCAAGGCCGAGTGGCTCACGCCCCGACAACGTGCAAGGCTGCAACGCTATGAGTGGGCTGACGGTTTGCTCCACTATAGGGTCGAGCCCGAGGATCCTCCCCGTATTGTCGTGCCCAACGACGAGGATCTCAAGTAGGACATCCTGATGGAGGTGCACGACGCTCCATCCAGTGGCCATCTCGGCCGTGAGAAGACGTACGCGTCTGTCTCGCAGATGTTTTGGTGGCGTCACATGTACAAGTGGGTCGCCACCTACGTCCGTACGTGCGAGACGTGCCAGCACGTGAAGCCTGCCGGTCAAGCCTCGGCACCATTGCAGAGCCTGCCGGTCCCAGCGGACTGCTGGAAGTCGATGAGTCTCGACTTTGTCTTCGGACTTCCGGCCGATGACCGTGGCAACACTGGTGTTGTTGCCTTCGTGTGCCGTCTGAGCAAGATGGTCCACTTTGCTCCAGTTCGTGACACCGGCACTCGCTCGCCTGTTCATGGACTGTGTCTTCCGACACCACGGTCTGCCCGAGACCATTGTCTCTGATCGAGACCCGCGGTTCACCGCTACGTTCTGGCAGACGCTGTTTCGCCTTCCCGGCACACGACTGTCGAAGTCGACGGCGAACCACCCGCAGACGGATGGCCAGACGGAGCGCGTCAATCGCGTGCTCGAGGACACGCTCCGCAGTATCTGCGCGGAGATGCCCCGCTCTTGGGCTGATCGCTTGCCCATGGTTGAGTTCGCACTCAACAATGCGGTACATGCATCGACGGGCTTTACGCCCTCTTACCTGAACGGGTTGTGCCACCCTCAGGTGCCGCTCACATTACGAGGCAGTACCGGGGCTTCGGTCCTATGTGGGGGAGAGGCTCGGAAAACCTTTTCCTCCCAAGTCTCGGACGTGAGTCCAGCCGCCTTGCGGAAGCAACTGTCCTCGTTTGCCGAAGACAGGCCCCGGTACTGCCTCGTAATGTGAGCGGCACCTGAGGGTGGCACAACCCGTTCAGGTAAGAGGGCGTAAAGCCCGTCGATGCATGTACCGCATTGTTGAGTGCGAACTCAACCAGCGGTAGGTGACCCTCTGGCTCTGGCTGCCCCGCCGGAAACGGTGGGTGGCCCGGTGGAGAAGCTCGGTCGAGAGCAACAAGCTGAAGCACCGCTTCATTGGACCCTTCACGGTCCTCAGCTGGCATGGCGTGGCGTACACCATAGACTTGCCCAAGTCGATGACGACTCACCCGACGTTTTACGTGGGTCGTCTTAAGAGGTACCATGACCCTCTGGCTCTGGCTGCCCCGCCGGAAACGGTGGGTGGCCCGGTGGAGAAGAGCGCAGCTCCTCGAAGCGCGGCGTCGGGTCGCGGTAAGGCGCCTGATACGCGCGCTGGTCGTAAGACGGCGCGGCGTACATCGGAGCAGCATACGCAGGGGTCCCGTACGAGCCCTGGCCAAACTGGGCCTGAGACGAGTGGGGCTGCCGCTGCTCCGGATACGGCGCGTGGCATGAAGCTCGGCCCGAAGGCCAGTGAGCTGGTTTCGCAGCGAGTCGTAAGACGACAGGTCGGCTCGACGATCCACGCGGCCATGGAGACTGCGAGTTTCTTGATAGAGCGAGGCAACTTCCTCACGGAGCCGCTCCACGGCTCCAGGCTGACCAGCACGAGCGGCAGCCTCGCCACCAAGGCCGACGCCAAGCGCGATCTCGAGGACGTACACACGGTCCCGGAGAAGACGAATCTCCTCTTGCTGCAGGGCCACCAGGCCCCAGCATACGGCTGCGTCGCCTCAGGCTCGTAGCCATGGCCGTGCGAGGCCACCGTCGGCCCTCCTTGACCGTAATGGGCAGATCCACTACCACGTGGAACGAGTCGTCCGGGAGCGGCGGCTCCATGGCAAGCGCCAGCTGCTCGTGAAGTGGAGGGGTTACCCTGAGTCGGATAACTCGTGGGAGCCCGTTGAGCAGCTCCAGGCAGACTGCCCGAAGGCTGTTGCGATATGGGACGAGAAGCAACGGCAGCTTCGTAAGTAGTCCTTGGCTTCTTGGCCGATACCCGGGGCACGGTAGCAGCCGTAGTCGCACCGCGCCCACGCTCTTAACGAGCTTTGGCTCTCGCCTCTTGCTTGAGCTCGTCCATCTTCGGACGGAGCTTGCGCTTGCTCACGAGTTGAGCGAACTCGATGCGGAACTCGCGCACGTCCAGGATTGCGGACAGAGTGTGATCCTCATGGAGTTCTTTGAACTCGTGGTCGGAATACCCTTTGCGCTGGACGTAGCGCCAGAAGAGGTCTTCCACATCGTTCGAGGTCATGTTCTCATTCGGCTTGACTCAGTGGTAACCCCACACAGGATGGAGTCCACCCTTGTCCTCCGGCTTCTTGCGAAGCGTGGCGAACTCCTTCAGTGTGAGCTTGTGTGGTGCTAGTAGCACACACCGGGCGACTTCAACGTCGCCAAGAAAGAGTGGTTCTTTCTCAACGAGAGCACGCTCATAGGAACCCCTCGAGGTGTACCCGCCGATAAGGCCACGAGGAGCCGAGAGCTTCTCCAACAGCGCTGGCGCACCGGTGCCAGGCTCGGGCGGGAAGTAGCCCTGCGGGTACGTGGAATCCCCGCCTGTAGAAGACTCGATGGCAGTCGTGGCAGTCGGCTGCCTGGCATACGCGCCCGAGCTAGCAGCGTGGTATTGCTGCTGCTGCTCGTCGAGGTTGTTGGAGAGCTCCGTGGGCTCGTGGACGGCACCCTCCTCGTCCTCAGACCCCGAATCGTCGAACAGCCAGGAGCTGGAGCCGCAAGGCGACCTGGAAGCTGAGCGCTTCTTCGCCTTGGCCTCGGCGGCCTTCGCAGCGGCAGCCGTTTTTGACGCTTGGGCACGATCACGACCTTGCGCCAGTGTCAGATGCTTGAATGCCAGCACCTCCTTGGACTTGGAGCCCGCGTCGCCCGGCGACTTCTCGGCCACGACCCCAGCGTCGGTCATGGCGACTTCGTCGTGCGACTGCGTGCTGTCGCCTGCGCCGGACTCGGCGTCCTCCGCCTCCTTCTCCGACGAGGCCTTTGCGTCGGCCGAGGCGTTGGCCATGTCGCCTGCCGCCAGCTCCGTGCCTTCGGCGGCGTGCGTGCTGCCCTCCGAGACGTTCTCGTCGTCGGGTGAACTCTCACCGGAGTACTGGACCATCGTGCAGTCAAAGACGGCGGCTTCCCAGTCGCGAGCCGGGCTTTTATGGCCCCGAGGACTCTCCTCCTTGCCTTGCGCGGCGTCAGGAGACTTGCTCCGAGCCCCGGCCTGACGGCCACTCTCCGGCGTTCTGCTACGAGAGCGCACCGCCTCCTCGGCCGCCTTCGTGGCCTCCATCAGCGCGAACGACTCGTCCTTGGCCTTGGCCGCCCTGGTCTTCGCCCCTACGGCCCGCGGTTTCGGAGGTGCTTTCGCACTGCGCGCACTGCGCTCTGGAGGCATGCTTCCGGTCGACGTGGAGACCCTGCGGCTTGCTCGGCGATGCGCCAGTTGCTCTGTGAGGCCCGGGAGCCGAGGCGCCAGAGCTCGCGCCGTTGTCGATGGATTTCGACTTTGCGAGTGAAATGTGTGTCGCCAGCGTAGCCTCGCTCTGATTGGTCGATAAGATCGAATCTAAGTGGGGGAGGATGTAACGGGGTTACATGGAATAGTGACCCTATCACTATTCAGGGATGGCTACATCGGTCACTCCCCTGGATAGTGACCCAAGTGGCCTCAGAGCCAACAGATACATTTTGTATGACACAAACTATAGGGAACTTAGGATTTGTATGCAGGCCAAATCTATACCAACCTATACATACATTCAGTCTTAGATCTACCGCTTTTCAAGTCAAGTCGTCCCCTTCAGACCAGGGACACGTGAACGGCTGTTCACTTGGAGTTTGTATACTCCTGCTTCCTCTGTTAAGAAGTGCTGTGTGCCCCGTCACAGTGTGCTTCTTATGTAAATATTTCGTATATGCCGAGCGTAGACCACTGGATGGGCGCAGACCAGAAGTAGACGCAGCTCTTGCGGCTCGTCGCTTTGCACCAGCAGCAGCGACAGCTGCTATAGCTGACATCGAGCTGGCACGAAGGTCCTGCTACACAGAACCACACGATACCTGGGTTAGTCTCCTTGCAGGTACACGCATTATTCTCCAATACTAGATACCTCCGCTGTGAGCTCCTGTCATCACAGAATCGCTTGCCGCCTGCAGCGACGGCGCTGTTGTAGACACTGGAGCATTCACTGCCGGGAGGCTTCCGCTTGGAACCGGGAGAATCTAGGGAGCGCCCATTACGGAGCGCCCGTGTGCAGAGCACGAACCTACAGCTGTAGCCATGACATACGATATTGACAGCGGAGTTGAAGCAGCGAATCTGTGGTGTGGTAATACCACTTAAATTCTCTTCTACCAAAAGGTATTAGAGACACCAACAACACGCTAACCCGCAAAGGTAAGCGCTTATTGGATCAAAACCTGAAGACCACGAACGATCCCTTACACCGGGTCGGTTGCAAGCGCCTCTGTGCACCTTAGGTTATCTTCGGTCAACCCAAAAACCTGTACCACTAGCCACGAGATAAGGCTAGGATACTATGTAGCGCTTTCGCGCAACCCCACTGCAGTCCCTCAGAAAGGAAGTGTACCGGCGTATTAGGCCTTATACAGGGGGACCAAGGTAAAACCTCGGTAGGTAGACTAATAAACTCAGGGACACTCTAATCCCACAAATATATACTAAACGATACTCTAATACCGTTCCTGCCTCTCCAACCACGCCAACTCTTGGCGCTGCCAAGGAAATTCTCGGTCAATGCACGATAAGCTCCCCGACAGGCAACCACACGCAGTCGAGCGTGTCCAGGCATAAGCTAGCTACACTTACCGAAGTCGGACTTGACCCTTGTTGGCTTTGGGGGAAGACTGTCTTTTTATTACTGAGTTTTCTGAGGCCCTGGGGGCCTCGTTCTGGCCATCCTATGATGAGTCCTATGTCCCTATACAAATATCTAGTGTGAACGATCGCAATAAGGCGATTCCGGACACATCAAATGACGACCGCGGCTACACTAATAAGTGCGGCCGAAGTACGTAACTAAATGCATCTGTACCTAAAAGTGGGTACCATGAAGCCTCGTTCGGGGTTGTAGGAACCGACGAGGCTCCGGCCACTACCTGTCACTCCAACGAGGATAATGTCGCCAGCTTAACCAAAGCAGCCACTTCCATCTCGCGCTTGACTGCTCCTTGATCATTGTACCTTGATTCTTGGGCGATGGGCAATCGCTCCGGTAATCTCCATTTTCCGATACCACAAATCTTACCGACGTATCTTACCCTTGCTCGCGTCATTATGTGTCGTTCGACCATGATGATACGTGGCAATATCGAGTGGCGTTTGCCATCGATATCATGGGAAGTGTAACGGGGTTACACGCACAAGGGACTACAGTCACTTGTTGCGATGTCTGTTAGAGGTTTGAACACTTCCTCGACCTTGGTGTAAGATACACCAATGGCTACATACATTTACGATCACCACGACGGGTGGTCCATGCACATTTAGGATTTCAATTGGCTGAAAGCAGCATCTTTTAGCCAATGAGCGACATGCATAGCATTGGAATTCTGCCAACCAGCCGTTGGCAGATTCCTAGTTTAGAATATTACATTTAGAGGAAGTCAGAAACATAAAACACATATAGCAGTTCTCATCTTTTACCAAAACACGCTACTTGGAGTCTTTATCTTGTTTAAAGTATACTCGTGGATCTCGAGTATACTTAACTCAAGTAAAAGAAACCTACGCTTCCTCATACACGTGCGCATACGTGTAAGCCGTAGTAGTGAGCCAAAGTAGGCCCACTACACCTGGTAGCACTTTGTAGTCCGTCCAACGACCGACTACCTGAACGTTCGTACGGAGCTGTACGAACGAGGAGCCGAGAACCTTTTCATGAGCGCGGAGGTGCCCATGGAAAGCTCCACTTCGCCTGCAATACATGTTGCACGCGCTGACTGCCTCCACCTGTCGGATCCAGAGTGGGAGGCACTCCAACGACTGTCAACAGTCATTGGAAAAGCGGCTGTAGCTGCAATGCTGCGCACACTATCGCCGACGGAGCAACACGGTGTTGCTCTGGGATTCATCATGAAGGAGCAGCGAGGTGCTGCTTCGTCTACCACGGTGTCGTCCCCGACGACACCGCGCGCGCAATCGCTGAAGCTCAGCGTGAGCAATTACGTTGGAAGAGAGGGCGAGCCTCTCCTCCGTTGGCTTGTCGAACTTGACATGCCATTGCGGCTCGACGTATCGTCGACACGTTGTCGAAGGTTGCGTTCGCCATGTCATGTCTTGGCGGACGTGCAAGAAGTTGGGCGTATGGACGCCGACTATCTGATCCTGCGTGCTTCAGCACGTACGAGGGTTTCAAGGAGGAGCTCAGGCAAGCGTTTGAGCCCCCGCAAAATGAGTTTCGATCGAGGGCAGAGTTCCTCGACCTACAGCAGGGGAAGCATGATGTCCATGCTTACGCTCAGAGAGCACGGTACTTGGTCTCGAACATCGTGACCAATCCGATCGACGAGGCGACCAAGGTCGTCACGTTCATGAAGGGACTCAGAGATGGGCCTGTGAAGACCTATCTCTTCCGTGAGTACCCGAGTACTCTCGAAGCTGCAATTACTCTTGCAATGCAGGAGGAGTTTAGCCTGCGGCAGGCTAAGCTGCATGCACATGTGCCGAGGCCACAGCCACGCCCGGTAGTGAGGACGGGAGGCCCAGAACCCATGGACCTCTCGAGTGCTGCAACTGCCGGACCCCAGCAGTCGCAGGGAAACAATGTGCGATGCTACCGTTGCGGTAGAGTCGGTCTCTTTGCTCGGGAGTGCACGTCCGTGCACCAGCAGGGTGGCTATCACGGCGGTGCCGGGCACCGTCGCAACCAAACAAAAAACGCTGGACGCCAGTAGGCGCGGGGCGCCCTACTGGTAATGCAGTTCCGCGTGTCGACCTCGGACACGCGACATTGAGGACTGCAGCCCCCAGTGAGGTTCATTCTCACTGCAAGAACCAAGATGACAAGCCTGACCTTGTCATCCTGAACGTGAACTCGATGAGAGCAAGCGGCTCTCTCCGTGCTTTGGTAGATTCTGGCGCGTCGAAGAACTTTGTTCGCCTGCGAAGTCTATCAAGGCTTGACTTCGAGGATTTAAAGATACCTCGAAGTATGTTGGAAGTACGACTGGCAACGGGTGCCGTCGTGAAGACCGAGAAGCGCATGGTACGCGTGCGCTTCACGTATGAAGATCAAGAGTTTGTCGAGACCTTTATCGTCCTGGATCTGGACAATAAGTTTGACATTGTATTGGGCATGCCGTGGCTTGCACGGCATGATCCGGTCATCGATTGGGAGAAGCGCAATCTCGTGCGCTTCGGTCGCGACAGCGGAACAGTGAGCGATGGCCCTGTTGCCGCTACGCACGCACCGATAGGTGCGCGCGACTCCCCACTCGAGACAGCGCCTAATGCCGCTGTCCCGGAGCGCCCTGGGCGCGCGCGAGCACGGGCGCAAGAGCAGCAAGCGCCGGCGTCACCGCCGACGGCTCAAGGAGAAAATGTGTTGATCTCGGAGATCGACACCCGCTTTTCAGCGAATCAGGAAGAGTCTCCGGCCTCAAGGGGCGCGGATGACGCAGGCGAGTCACACGCCTCAGCCGTGGAGGCTGACGCGAATCTGATTGGATCAGGTCTGACCAATAATAAGAGCCAAGGTGACGTAACGCCGTCGACTCTGGGAGTCGATGGCTTGGTTGAATTTGATTCGTCGGCTCGGGGAGCCGACGCACCCTCCGTAATGGAGGGCTCCGCCAATAACAGGCGTCGAGGTGAAGATGGCGTGTCGGCTCCGGGAGCCGACGCTGCAGGCGGTTGCAAACGTCCCGCACCGGAAAACTTGCATGCTGTCGTGCAGCCGGGCTGCACGACGAAGCGCCGGGCGACCAAGCCTGGCTTGAAGTCGCTCGCCCGCGGGATGAACCACCCGGCGGTACTGAAGATCACCCGTCCACGGCTGGGCCTGGACGAGGTCAAGAACCAAGCGGAGCCAGGCTCCGCAGAACAAGAAGACGGCGCATGCAAAGGTTGCTGTGCAAGTCTCGGCCTGGGGCCGAGACGCTACAAGAAATGTCTGCCGGGCAGACGGAGGCAGAGAAGCCGGGCGTCGAGACGTTGAACGTCTTGACGCGTACCTGTGCCGGGTTCCGGTACAGGGAGATGACTCTCGCTAACCCTTCGACACAAGCATCGGAGTTGACTTCCCTTCCAGTCATGAGCTGGAAGCGCTTCGCGCGTGACTTGCACGATGGACGCATCGAGCAAATATGCATTCTCTCGGACGCCGAGAGAACGAAGAGCGAGAATGAAGAACTGAGGCAGTTCTTCATGGAGAC